TTTTTTTTTTTTTTTTTTTTTTTTTTTTTTTTTTTTTTTTTTTTTTTTTTTTTAAATAAAGTACGGGAACTCCCGTTAATGAATGTCATGATATGATAACTGTAGCAAGTGCATTAATTTTAATGTTTCAGATTCGATTGAATTGAGTGTCAAATTTTTTTTAATTGAGCGAGACATTGTTAGGCCTACCGTCTTTGTTAAGGGGAGAATTAACTAAAATTTTCCTTGTCATTGAAAACTGGCTATTTTTTAAATTGAATAAAACAGAAATGTGCAAGATGAAATTATTAATTAACAACGTACATATAAACAAAAGTGCAGATCAGTGCAAAAGCACTATTTAATTTAGGTCTTAACAACACTATGTCATTTAACATGATGTATTTTAGGTAACAAAAACAATATGTCATTTAGGTAACGACAACACCATGTCATTTAGGTAACAAAAACACTATGTCATTTAGGTAACAAAAACACTATGTCTTTTAGGTAACAAAAACACTATGTCATTTAGGTAAAAAAAAATACTATTTAATTTAGGTAACAAAACACTATGTCTTTTAGGTAACAAAAAACTATGTCTTTTAGATAACAAAACAATGTCATTTAGGTAACAAAAACACTGTGTCATTTAGGTAACAAAAACAATATGCTATTTAGGTGACAAAAGCACTGTGTCATTTGGGTAACAAAACATTATGTCGTTTGGGTACCAAAAAAACTAAGTCATTTAGCTTACAAAAATACTGGCCTATGTCGTTTAGGTAAGAAAAAGCTCTGTCATTTAGGTAAAAAACCACTGCCGTTTAAGTTTAGGTGAAAAAACATTATAATTATGTCGTTTAGGTAACAAAGCACCATGTCCATGTCATTTGGCCATTTGGGTATCAACAGCACTGTGTCATTTAGGGGGGAAAAAAACTATTCTTTTAGGTAACAAAAACACTATGTCATGTTGGTAACAAAAACTATGTTATAATTTAGGTAAAACAGAAGAAGAGTACTTGACACTATTTTCAGCACGAAGGAAAAAAAAGGAGCAATGAAACAGTTCTGTTAAAAGACCGAGCTTAGCTTACACTGTAACAATTTAAAAAACCGAAGCAATTTAGATACGCCGGATTTCAGATGTTGAAAAACAATGATAGGGATTTTCCAATTTTTACGGAAATCAAAGATGATATAAAATAAAATATGACAGCTTATATTTAAGTATATGTAATGTAATATGTTTAAGAATTATTATTGGAAATTAAAAATACGATTAGGTCTATAATTTTGTACTTTAAAAAAACAAGTTAATTTTTTACAAGAATAAATAATTAATAAATTATTTTAAATAACAAATTGAACTCTGAACAGTAGTCAGTACAGACAGTTGAGACAGTGGGCCAGTGGGTATGCCCAGACAGTGTGTACAGTTGTACAGTATAGTGTAGATATAGACTATAGACAGTATAGTGTAGTTTAGTATAGTTACAGTATTGTAAAAAACTGTTTATTACCAATTCATTGTCAGTTACCACCCCCCCCCCCGTAAGAAAAATATTTTTTTAGAATTATTATAAGTTTAATATGTTTTAATATTTTACTTGTTTTTTTAATAGACAGTATAGTGTAGTTTAGTATAGTTACAGTATTGTAAAAAACTGTTTATTACCAATTCATTGTCAGTTACCCCCCCCCCCCCCCCGTAAGAAAAATATTTTTTTAGAATTATTATAAGTTTAATATGTTTTAATATTTTACTTGTTTTTTTATATTACCGGTACATAAAAAAGGACTAAAAATCAGTAAAAAAAGAAAAATCATACCAAAGCTAGTGACTCACTAGTGACATTAAAAATAGTCAATTTAATTAGGCTCAGACTTCCATTACCAAAAGTAGTAGTAGTGGTCGTTTAGTAATAGTAGTAGTTATTGTGACCTCAGTGGACTGCCTAGAGGGTGTGAAGGGTAAAAATGTCCCAGACACTTTAAGGGTTCATACGAAAATTATATAAAATTATAGAAATTAAAGCCAATGACTTATTATGTCTATGAGTGTTTGTTAGGAGGGTGAACTTTTCCCCAAAGTTTGGGTGTTCGTTCAAGGTGGACTTGGACTTTAGTCAAGTACAACACTGTGGGGCCATTAGTCACTTTAGAGCCTACAGGAAAGGTCCTGGTGCAGTCCAAAACAAATCCAGGCACTTTGGGTAGATAAATTGGACTTCTTGTCAACCTTGAGATGTAATACCATGGGATTAAAATCTGACATACAAAATTTGGAGTATTTTACTCAAAATATCTGCAACACCTGGCATCAAGGAACTTTGAAGTTTCATTTTGTCCATCTGTTCAATGGGATATAGTTGATTCTTCAGAAATTTTGGTAATTTTTGGTTTAAAAAAAGAAAGTGCAATATATAAATATAAAATAAACTTTGTATACAAAGGACCTTTATGATAAAATGTAATGATCCCCACCCCCCCAAAAAAAAACCAACAAAAAACACATCACATATCTTCTCTACCAAAATTATTTTAAAATAGCAACTAAATCAACACAGCTAAAGCTGAACCTAACCAATTGATTAGTAGGCCTACTCATGCGCAAGAAAAAAATCAGACAGTATTAAAACAATGTAATTATGGGAGTTGTCTAGTTTTAATGTCATACTCTAAAGTTATTCAAACAAGTGTCCTGGCTGAGACCGACTGACTGGGCGATTTTAATAAGCATTAACTTTGGAAAAAAAAAACAATAATAACTATGATAAATTTTCATTTTTCATATTAGAAAATATGGGCCATGTTGTCCACAACTCAGGCAATTACATATGTGCCCTATTTCAGTTTTGGGTCAAATTGTAGAAACATCATTTTTTTTAAAAATGTAAGTAATGTAAGGACATATTTATTGATTCTCCAGATCCAGTGACACCCTTTGCCATTTTATAATCATTTCCTCAGATGTCATTCCAGAACAAAACCAATTGTATTCTTCTTTTTAATTATCTTCATAATTATCTTTTACAGCATGTCTAAAGAAACCAGCAATTTTGTTTACAATCACTGGAAAAACTTGACAAACACCCTCAACTTATCACCAAAAATAAGTGAAAACTGGTGGAGTGTTATTTTTCGGCATTACACTCAAGAATGGCGCCATTATCATTCATTATCACATATAGAAAATTTGCTTCAGCTTTTTGATCAATGGAGGCAGAGGATAGTGGAGCCAGAAAATGTTGCTCTTGCTATTTTTTTTCATGAGTAATTCTTTTTGTTGTTGAAACATTAGTGGATATCATAATTTACAAAAATAATGCTAATATAAAAAAATAATGACAATTTTAATCTATTTTTATGCAAAGTAGGCCACCTTTGACACCAATCTGTATTTATTGAGTTGATATGGTTTTGCAGAGACTTAGCCTCCATAGTTTTTAAAAATATATTTTTTAGTAGAGAAAAATATGCCATTTCTGTGTCTTATCTTCCTCTGCCTATTTTGCCTTGGCTGAGCTTGCCACCACCTGTGCCATCAATGTATGCACCCATCTAACAGTTTTTGAAGTTATTCATTAAAATAGAAAAAACTTAACAATGATGATTTTGATTTATTTTTTCAGCATTGTCTACAATCCAACAGCCAGGGATAATGAAGATCGCTCTGTGATTATATTCAACAAATTTGCTGATGAGGCCAACCTGGTACCTTTTTTTAAATTTTATTCTTTAATTAAAAATTGTGTAACCTGTATGATGACAATATAAAGCATATAAATGGTCTTTATATAGGACCCAGTAACTTATAAATGTCCAAACAGAAAGAGCATTGACTGCCGCACCAAATCTTATTTTAATAAAACTGATACTGATATTGACATTGGAGTCATTGGATGGTTTTTGCAATGAAAAGCTACAGTTGTGTTTGCTGTATGGGAGGGGTAGGTAAGAGGGGTTCAGTGTTGGAAGGTGAAAGAAAGGATGAGATGGAGGTCATGGGTGGGAAAGGTAAGAGGGATTCAGTGTTGGAAGGTGAAAACAAGGATGAGATGGAGGTCATGTCAGTAACAATGAATGAAGTACACCAGTTCATTAACACCAATGATCAACTTGCCAGCTGTTGGTATCTAATCCCGTAACCCTTAAATTCTCACAACACACACCACAATATAGCTGCAAGTGCAAGATCATCTAGGGGCACATGACTCAGAATCAGTTGGCAATATGATTTTTTAATTTTTCCCCCACCATTAGTATTTTTTTCCTTTATCATTTTCAGGGCATAACTGCTAAACTTGCTGTGACTGACATGATCATTGCCACAAAATACCATGTACTTTGTAATCGGGATGATTCAGATTTGTGTTTCTTTCTTGACTTTGACCTAGCAATTATGGGACAAAAAGAAGAAGGTATTACCTGACCTCTCATTTATTACATAGAAATGGAAACAAGGAACTAAACTCTCAATAAGTTTTATTTTCATTATATTGTTTTCAGTATTCCTTTATTCATGTCTCCATTCATTTTTTTAATGATGATTGTTACCTATCATTTAATGGTTTTTGTGAATGTAATATGTTTTAATATTTGACTTGTTTTTTTTATAGTACCGGCACATAACAAAGGATTAAAAACCAGCATACCAAGAAAAGTCATACCAAAGCTAGTGATATTAGCAATATTCAATTTAATTCTACTTTTAAATTTATATAAAAATTCAACAGAGCGTACACAGCAAGTGAAACAGTATATTCCTAAAAAATACAAATATTAATATACACACACACATAAAAAGTACAATTTTTTAAGTACAGGTATATTGCCTCTCATAAATGTCTAGGAAAATAGCAAAAATTGCTTGTTTTTACTCAAAACTAAATCAAAATGTAGGCTATAGCAGTGAAAGGTCAGAAAAAGGTGTTTTATGTAATTGTTGAACTTAGGCCTAATATATCTTAGACAATTAGAGTTAGAGCATGGGACATAAAACTAGGCATACTGTGCTTACATAGTTAATACTTTAAAAAATCTTTAGCCATATGAGGACATGCTGGGTGACTTTTCAACAAAGGAACTACTTAAATAAAAATAAGTAACAAGAGAAAAATATTTGTTTGTCCTCTCTCTTTAGTATACAGAGAATATTCAGCTAAAATAAGAAGAGAATATGATCACTACGATGATTCAACTTACAGAACAGGCAGAACTGCTGTAAGTCTAAATTAATTAATGAACACATTGAGAGAAGAGTTGAGAATCATAACTATTATTTTAAATGCTAATTTTCAACTAGTGACACCAAGGGAGAAAAATGTTCAATACCGGCATTGACATTTTTTATAGGTGAAGCAAAATTTTTTTTTTTTAATTCTATATTTATAATATCATCAAATATGAAGATAAAACGACCTTAAATTATATTTATATAGTTATAATAACATCAAATATGAAGATAAAAGGACTCAGTTACAGTAATATAAAGAAATTTTATGCTACATCTAACCACATGAGAATGAGACAAGGGAGAATGATGAGAACATTTCTTTGGGAAATTTAACTTTCTAAACTTCCTTGTCATGGTATTGCAAAACTTTGTGATTTCATTTGTCACTCATTGTGATGTCAGTGCTGTGAAGGTTAGGTTACTCTACCATGACAAAGTTACATTTACAAGACTGCCATTTTATGATATGAAAGGTAGACACCCCCCCCCCCCCAGCGTTTTGTGTAACTTATCCATTAAATTAAGAGTAATGATCTGAAGAAAAGTTCAGGCTGACAGCAAAAAACAGGATGCCTACTGAAATGTATGTTCTTATCTGTATTCAAATGAAATAATTTCACCACCTTCAAATGAAGCCAATGGAGTAATAACATTAAATAACATTTTTTAATGCTGCTAACTATGATACAATACATTTTAGGGAGTGTGGGTTAAATTAATGCCTAATTTAGTTTGATAAGAATATTTTTCTTCTAATTATATACGTTGATGTATATTCGTGTACTTCAGATCTTACAAACTCTACTGAACTCTCCATCACTTTACAGCTCAGAAGAAATGAGGCAAGAGTTTGAAGCACAGGCCAGAATAAACATGATTCAGGAAATTAAAAACTTGCAGTCAAAATTCTAATTACCGATACCATAATGACATTTAAATATTTCAAGACTTGTAGATTATTTCAGTTTCTTTCCCTTTCTTTCATTCCTTTCACATAATCTGGCATATCAACTATTTTCCTGTAAATTATTTCGCATTAATGTTTGAATTGATAGGCCTATATGGTGAACGGTATCATTCTAAAATCTCACGGGATGTTGTCTTCCGATAAAATAAAAAGTTTAAGCCCTATAATTAAAAATTTATATTTTAAAATGTGTTGTTATGTTTCAGTTATTATTAACTTGTTATTTTTTGTTATGAAAATTACCCTTGACCTAGAATGTTAACATTTCTTCATCCCTCGGTATAATATGGAAACAAAGTCAGAGACTCATGGTGATGTACAGTTTCATATCGACTATAAACAACAACCAGAGTTATGCCAAAGTTGAAATTGTTGAGTTTTTCGAGTCAAGCTAATGGATTTTGAGTCAAGCTAATGGATTCAGCACTGACAGTGATGAACTTGTCATGAAAGCTAGATTGCCCCTACCTGTTTATTACTAACTGGGCACGGGTCATTCAAAATACAAGGCAAATACTAGCACAACACACCACAGTGTTTCATTCTCAAATCTGTATTCTGAGAAACTGTCTGTGTCGGCTGAGGACAGAAATCTGCTGCAACATTTCACCCCTTGCCTGTTCTTTTGTCCAATGAAAACTTGTACAACAAACTTGTATCTGAAATAAGACATTGGAATAATTATGCATACAACTATTACAACTACAAGAGCAAAAATCTTCTAGGTAAAGAAAGAATTTATCAACATAAGACTTAAGTTTCTATGGTCAAGAAAGAATGTATCAACATGAGACTTAAGTTTTTATGGTAAAGAAAGAATGTATCGACATAAGATTTAAGTTTCTATGGTAAAGAAAGAATTTATAAATAGTGTCTGAATGTATCCAAGTTTAAGGGAAGTTAGGATTCTATCTTTGTTTTGTCCACTTGGTGTCTTTGTTTCATTCATGATTTAAAATGTCGACAGCTAGTAGTAGTTTTGAGTGATGGAGCCAACCACCTCATACAAATATGTAGCCACTAAGAAAATTCCATTAAAATACTCATAGACACAGGTCATTGCATCAAACTCCAGTAGGCAAAATTTATCATGTGATGAAACGATAGGTGTAAATTAATAGTAATGATAGGGTTAATGAAGTGGTTATTAAACTCGCCACCTCATCTTGTAGCTATTTGATCTGTTGAGAATACTGAGAACATGAAGTCATGATCAAATGGATTGAAAAATAATTGGAACAATGGATGTTTTACTAGTTTTTCCTTACAACATCTTACTATAGGGTGACCAAACGTCCCGTAAAAACGGGATTGTCCCGTTTTTTCACGATAGTACCAGTTGTCCCGAAAAAGTCTCTCGGGACGCCTATAAGTCCCGTTTTTTAAACCAAACACATTTTCAAATCACTAAAACTTCCTAATTTATAAAATAACTTCCAGAAATATTTTTTACTAGCTGAGTAGCCAGTGCCAGTAGGGATGTGGGCACGCGTGATGGCTGCATTGTTCCTCCTGCACCACAGTGTCCCTGCCATAGATCTTATATGTCAATGTAGAACGAAAGACACGAGACTTGAAGCCAGGGGGGACGGAGCGTAACTTTTACGCTATGGGGCCATCCATAAAAGACGTCCACCAATGTTTTGCTATTTTTACCCCCCCCCCCCTTTGTCCACTTTTGACTTGCCGCCCCCCCCCCCCAGATGTGGACGTCCAAAACATAAAATTTACCGAACTTAAATTAATGAATATTTTGGGAAAATGTAAACAATATAATCCACCCATGTTTTGCTATTTTTACCCCCCCTCCCCTTTGGCCACTTTTGACTTGCCGCCCCCCCCCCCCAGATGTGGACGTCCAAAACATAAAATTTACCGAACTTAAATTAATGAATATTTTGGGAAAATGTAAACAATATAAAGAGTATGTATTTACAAAGATTTTTTTTTAGACATTCCAATTATTTGCAGGCAAAATTCTAAATGTAATAATAACTGTTCAAAAACATTTTATTGAATCACTGTATTAAAAAATGTAATAAACAAATAATCCACCATTCTTCATTCAACGGAAAATTCGGACTGCAGCCATTCAAACATGTTTCGTATAATGACAAAATCTGTTCTTGAGTCTTCAATTGCTAATTCAATTTGAGTGGCAATCTCTTCGTCTGATTCGTCTGCCATATTATGTTCACTAGCAGGAATATTGCAATGAACGACGTTATGTTTTTTCATTGCCGCCTGTGATGGGAAATATTTACCGCAGAAACATATTTTCTTGGAAATTCTCCCAGCCACCGATGGACAATAGAGATCAAAAGGCATGCAAAACTGTTATTTGAGATTTTATTGTATTTGAAAAATCAAACTTTGACAACATATTTTTAAAATAATATTCAAGCCTATTTATTATTAATATTGAAAAAAAATTGTTTCTAAATTTAACCACTCACTTTGTGAAAATTGTTTGGGTTTGCATCCCAACTCTTGTGTCATTAAACTAGAAGGTTTCTTGCTGTACATTTATGCAAAACTGCTGCACTCAAAAAAACACACTACAATGTGGACATCCACTTTGTCCTTAACCCCCTCCCCCCTTTGTCCACTTTAGTCCACTTTTTGCTGAACCCCCACTCCCCCCTTTTGTGTGGACGTCTTTTATGGATGACCCCTATGACAGTGAAGCCGAGTGCACTGTTTGCAATAACCTTTTTAGCATTGGTCATGGTGGACGTTCAGACATCAAACAACACATCACATCAGTGAAACTTATGACAGAGGAAAAGACTAAGTGCCCCAAGTAGATTTCTAGGTTAGATTTCATAGCTAAAATGAGCATATTTCAATAAACAGTTTCTGGTGAAGATTCCGGACCCCTCTTTAGCTGGAGGGTCTCCTCCGCCCCGCCCCCCACACAACTACCAAAACCGTTAATGAAAGTGTCCCGTTTCTCCAGTTCATGATTTGGTCATCCTATCTTACTACAACGTGCGCATGCTTTTCTCATATGATTTTTAACTGTCGTAAATCTTTCCACATTATCAATAAATCTCTAATCAATTGATCAGTAGAATTGTCCTTTAGAATTCTATCTGCTAACCACCTTCAATTGACTTCAATCCGTGCCATGTGTCTAGTGCCACATGACCCACTCAACCAAGTATTACTTGTTTAAAACTGTACAGAGGTGATGGGGGAGGGGGGTAACGCTTGTATTATTCCTTATTTGCTTCCCTTTCTTATTTGAACCTTGTGAGAAGATCAGGGGCACTGTCTTAGAAGATTTTGCAGACTGCTCTTCTCCTAAAAATACCATCGCCTTCATCTAAATAATGTGAAATTTCATTAAAGCAAACAAATTTCAAAACTGAATTCTTTTTTTTTTTTTAAATAGTCATCACTATCCTATTTCTTATCCCTGTCGTAATCCTTGTTTTATTTTGGTAACATGCCCCCGCCCCCAATGGCAGCTTTCATAACACATTCTATTATGAATTAAGCCTGGTAGTTGGCACCGTGTCTCTCTATCTACAAACTAAAATGAGTAAAACAGAGTAGGTTTAACCCTACTCTGTTTTACTCATTTTATTTTGTACTAACCTGATTGCAGTCTCTCCCCTTATTACCCCTCTCTATCTACAGCCGCCAGCACAATACTATGCCAGGTAGTGGTCATTGTGTCTTACTATCCTAACTATTCATTGGTTAGACTTTCGTCTTACAACTCTACACGAGTTACCTGTCGTATTCAAGTTGTTTCATCTGTATTTCGATTTCACCTGCAACTCCCTTGGCCGTTGTCTTTGCCCAAACCTTGTCATAACGTGTGTCTTAGAGAAGAGAAAACATTGTTAATATGAGACTTGTGTGTGACTATCTCGAGATTCTTTGTACTCTATTATATACACACACACACTGTTTGAATTGAAATATAGTCTCATTTATCAAAATATAAAAAACGCCTTTGTGCATACTAAAATTGTTGCACACAAACACATTTGACGAACATACACGCATTAAACACACACGCACCAAATCTTCACTCAAATGGGCAAACTGGCATACATGAGATTTTTATTGATTTAAACTTGGCAACCTATCACGAGCAAAGGGAAGCAACCAGCGACCAAAAAGATGGCGCAATATATAAATGTAAAATAAAGTTTGTACAAGGCACTAGGGCACCAATACAAGGCACTAGGGCACCAATACAAGGCACTAGGGCACCAATACAAGGCACTAGGGCACCAATACAAGGCACTAGGGCACCAATACAAGGCACTAGGGCACCAATATGATAAGATGTAATGATGCCTCCCCCCTTAAAAAAAAACAACAAACAAACAAAACAAAACAAAAACAACAACACATCACATAGGTCAAAGGGTGCAGATTATCCTATCCCCCAAAATTATGAAATTAATATTTTAAAAAACAACTAAATCAACACAGCTAAAACTGAATGTTATAGAGAGCTTGTTTACATAATATTTCTCGTGCGTGCCCTCTGATTGACCCCGCATGAGACGCTGTGTTCACAAAGGGGTGTGGCTTAGGTCTTTGATGTATTCTTGTTTACGCCGCCAACGAATAAAAATAATTAATCTGTTCCAAATAGTATTTGGTAGAATGATCGGGATTTTTCTCGAAATGTCATGTAGCTTGTAGAAGGCGGGGCTTAGGCGTCGGTAGACCCACCTATATAAGGGATTGACAGGCACGACGAGAGAGAGGGAGATTTCAGATAAATTTTCTTAACATTACGAGGCGTGTTTTATTCTTTGTGTATTTGTGTGCTCATATGTGGTTATTTCGCATTATTTATCGGCACATTATTCTAATTGTATTAACTGTGTACCGGTACGAGATCTACCATACTGTAAGTTGAAGATTGTAATTATATTTTTCTTTTCTTTTGTCATTATCTTAAGACATAATAAATCTTAATTAATTGTAACTAGAAACTGTTTTGGGTCGTATCCTTAATATTGTTGATTCTATGGTATCGTCCTTTGTTAGGCACTGCTTAAAACGAGCCAATTAAAATTAAAATAGGAGATTAATTTCTCCCAATACAAGTCAGTGCGTAACACTGAACCTGACCAATTAATTAGTAGGCCTACTAATGCGCAAGAAAATAATCAGACAGTATTAAAACACAGTAATTATGTGAGTTGTCTAGTGTTAATGTCATACTCTTAAGTTATCAAAACAAGTGTCCTGGCTGAGATCGACTGACTGGAGGATTTTAATATGCATTAACATTTGAACCAGCAGCCTTACCTTTGTGGATCCACCTGTTGACAACTACCTGGGCTACCTTCTGAGCATGAGACGACTGAAAGGTGTTTTTTGGACTGAGTTGATAGGTGTTTTCGTGGCAAATTGTTACCTGTAAAATATAATTCAAGGATTATTCCCTTTATGTATAGAGAATGACTGATTTTTTTAGATATTTTAAATAAAAAACAAAAAGTTTCAGGGAAAGTGTATCCTTGAACATTGATAATTGATATTTATCTTGCCTTCCATGACCTATTGGGCTGGACTTCATATTTATCTTGCCATCTATGACCTATTGGGCTGGACTTCATATTTATCTTGCCTTCCATGACCTATTGGGCTGGACTTCATATTTATCTTGCCATCTATGACCTATTGGAATGGACTTCATATTTAGCTTGATGCTTCATATTTAGCTTGATATATATGACCTATTGGACTGGGCTTCATAACTAACATATGCCAACCTTTAAACAATCCGTCATTACCCTACCGTCCATTAAACAGTAGGCCTGCAGACAGCCCTACACCCTAACTGCCGGCCATTAAACAGTAGGCCTACAGACAGCCCTACGCCCTAGTTGCCGGCCATTAAACAGTAGGCCTACAGAGAGTCCTACACTCTATTTGACGGCCATTAAACAGTAGGCCTACAGACAGCCCTACGCCCTAACTTCCGGCCATTAACAGTAGGCCTACAGACAGCCCTACGCCCTAGTTGCCGGCCATGAAACAGTAGGCCTTCAGACAGCCCTATGCCCTAGTTGCCGGCCATTAAACAATAGGCCTACAGACAGCCCTACGCCCTATTGCCGGCCATTAAACAGTAGGCCTACAGACAGCCCTACGCCCTAGTTGCCAGCCATTAAACAATAGGCCTACTGAGAGTCCTACACCGGAATATCTTAAAGAACTGATTTATAAACACATATCCTTAAAGAATCAGCTGTCTTCAACACAGTCCTTACTGAGAGTTCCCAGTGTGGATGGACACAGAAAAAAGTCTTACAGAGTGCGCTCTTTTGAAGCGATAGCGCCAAAATTATGGAACAGTTTGTCCCAATCTTTGAAGGAAATTGAAAATGATAAAAAAATCATTTAACAAACATTTAAAGAATTTTTTTTATTGAAATAGATTTAAGAACATCAGAGCGCTATGAGCATGCTAAAGTAGCATGGATACAAGCGCTATATAAATATTCACTTCACTTCCATAAACAGTAGGCCTATAGTTTTACACTCTACCTGCCAGGCTTAAAACAATAGTCTTAAGGACAATCTTAAACCCTACCTGCTGGCCTTTAAACAGTAGTCTTAGGGACAGTCCTACACCATACCTGCCGGCCTTAAAAAATAGTCCAACAGACAGTCCTACACCATACATGTGGCTCTTTATCGATTCATATGATAGTCACCACCCCGTAAAAAAAAAAAAAATCCTTTTTCCCCTAGTTAAACTGCATGGGGTTCCCCCCCCCCCCCCCAAATCATATGAATATAAAACACGCTGTGAAAAGGAAGCAGGACACACCAGAAGCAAAATATATGAGAGATTACGCATCCATTGATTTCTGAACAAATATACATTTCTTACTTAAGATACCTCAACAATGATACATATCTTAAATCTCAAGATAAATGTATAATGTAAGTCAGATAAATGTCTCATTATCACTGACCGAATCAGCTGCTGCTCGCCCTTTAGGTTTGTCCGAGCAGACGTCCATTTTACTCTCCCTTGATGAGTCCTGCTTGTTGCTCTTGTTCGTGAGGTAATCAAAAATGCTGCTCTTCTGATCGCTGTCTGCTGGTGCCAGTAGGCCAAGCGAAGGGGGGTAACCACTGGGCTGCACAAAGACTGCCCTGAGTCTTGGTTCTTGAGGACGTGATAACGATGGCGCACTCTCCATTATAAGAATTGTTTACCTCGAATTAATTATTCATTTCATGGCCTTATCCCTGGTACTGAAGTCCTAATGAAAGAAAAAAAGAAACTTAATGATAACAATAATTTATACAAGGGCTTAACCGGGTGCAGCTTTTTTTTTTTACACCGTCCAGTAGGTTCAGGTGTCCAGTTGGTCCAGGCGTCCAGTTGGTACAGGCATCCAGTTGGTCCAGGCGTCCAGTTGGTTCAGGTGTCCAGTTATTTCAGGTGTCCAGTTGGTCCAGGTCCACGCGTAAGTTGGTTGAGGCGTCCAGTTGGTCCAGGCGTCCAGGTGGTCCAGGCGTCCAGTTGGTCCAGGCGTCCAGTTGGTTCAGGTGTCCAGTTGGTTCAGGTGTCAGTTGGTCCAGGTCCAGGCGCCAGTTGGTCCAGGCGTCCAGTTGGTCTAGGCGTCCAGTTAGTCCAGGCGTCCAGTTGGTCCAGGCGTCCAGTTGGTCCAGGCGTCCTGTAGGTCCAGGTGTTACGAAAAAAAGAGTTAACTTCTCATTTTCTATAATATGTTTTATATCCCGGCCTTAAAAATAGGCCTACTGACAAGCCTGCCTGCTGGCATTGAAACAATAATCGTAAAGACAGCCCTGTGCCATACAAGTGGCTTTTTAATAAATAATATAATAGTTGCCTTCACCTAAAGAACAAAATCAACATATTTACCGAAATTCAACCGCCACGCATGACGCTCTCAGCGTGGCAGCCTCTTTTTCACTCAGTACTATTTATATTTATTTATTTAGGCATTTTTATATAGCGCTTACCTTAAAGCTCTAAGCGCTTTACAATTATTAAAAACATGTAAACTAACTAAAATAAAAATGAGACATTAGGATAGTAACTACTATACTATAGAAACAATTAAAATGGCTATAAACGAGGACACTTTATAAAACATGGGGAGTTGGGGAGGGGTCGGTTTCGAAGAGGAAGCAGGGCGCACCAGAAGCCAAATATACATAAGAGATGGTGCAGTGACATGCATGTGTTCAGACATGCATATATAGAATATTCTTTTTAAGAAATGATACGTGAATATTTTAAATAGAATTTCTATCCTCTAACACTCACTATAATCTTATGCACACCACACGGCTAGCTAAGTGTCCCATGATTCGAGAGTCCCCGGACCAATCATGGAGCATTGTTCATCAAACGGTTTTGAACTAAGAGTGTGGAAAATAACAGAGCATTGTTTTCCCTTGCTCCTGGAATGCCGCTCAGACGGTTCCTCCATTTTTGACACAATCACTGCCTCTACATCTCATCCATACAAACACTCACATGCTATACATTTCATACATACAAACACTCACATGCTCTACAATTCATACATACAGACACTCATATTGTCTACATGTCATACATAAAAACACTCGTGTTCTATATTTCATACATACAAACACTCAAATGCTCGACATCTCATTCATACAAACACTCACGGTCTCTACATCTCATACAAACAAACACTCACATGATATATATTTCATACATATAAACACATGCACTACATTTCATTCATACACACACTCTCATACTCTACATCTCATACATATAAACACTCACATGGTCTACATTTAATACATACAAAAGATGCTTTATAACTGCACTATTCCTTTGTGATGGTGAATGAACAGCTACATGAATCCCTGCACTAAACACTACTTTATAACTGCACTATTTCTTTGTGTTGGTGGATGAACTGCAACATGAAACCCTGCACTCAACACTACTTTATAACTGCACTATTTCTTTGTGTTGGTGAATGAACTGCTACATGAATCCCTGCACTAAACACTACTTTATAACTGCACTATTTCTTTGTGATGGTGAATGAACTGCTACATGAATCCCTGCACTAACCACTACTTTATAACTGCACTATTTCTTTGTGTTGGTGAATGAACTGCTACATGAATCCCTGCACTAAACACTACTTTATAACTGCACTATTTCTTTGTGTTGGTGAATGAACTGCTACATGAATCCCTGCACTAAACACTACTTTATAACTGCACTATTTCTTTGTGATGGTGAATGAACTGCTACATGAATCCCTGCACTAACCACTACTTTATAACTGCACTATTTCTTTGTGTTGGTGAATGAACTGCTACATGAATCCCTGCACTAAACACTACTTTATAACTGCACTATTTCTTTGTGATGGTGAATGAACTGCTACATGAATCCCTGCACTAACCACTACTTTATAACTGCACTATTTCTTTGTGTTCGTGAATGAACTGCTACATGAATCCCTGCACTAAACACTACTTTATAAGTGTACCATTTCTTTGTGATGGTGAATGAACTGCTACACGAATACCTGCAATAAACACTACTTTATAACTACACTATTTCCTTGTGATAGTGACCGGACTGCAGCAACATAAACACCCACCTTTTCACGGACATTCAAAGACCAGAAATGACGCCCCCGTGAACAATAAAAACTCAATGATGTACTTTACCCCATGTTGTTACAGGCCGTCTTTCAGGGGCAGAGCTCATCTAGTCCGATACGAGACTTTGTGTTTTGTTTTAGTTTGGACTGGGCTTGGATGGAAGTGTGTGCATGTGTGTGTGGGGGGAGATGAGGTAGACCCTCCGTGTATCCTGAATTTGACATGAAGTGGCTGGACCCGATAATAAAACACAGAGGTTCTAAAATTGCATTGTTATTTTAAAAAAAAACAAGAACTTATTTTTTATTATTTTTTTTATAATTGCAATTTTTAATCGACCATAGAATAAAAGTGTGTGTTCATAATTATCATTTCTCCTTCTTGTCTGCACATTATAACATAATTGATCCTCGGCGTTTCATTCTCTCTATCCTCTCACTACACCAATGCAGTTAACCTTTCCACCATTAGCACTTCATTCCACACCTTATTTCCTCTAGTAATCTACACCCCTGGCTCAGGTGTCCGCCATCCTAAACATGGCCTGGCTTCCAGAAACCAATAATTGCCCCCCCGATCAATACTCGGCTTTAGAACAAGATTTGGTCCTTTGATACGCGTGTCGAGGGTTTGGTCAACTGGAAACCGAAACACCAGCCACAACAATAAAACTATAAATCGTCTGCTTTGATATTGTCTCGGGTCTGGGCGGTCAGACTGACAGCGCCTGGACTTACGTGGTTACAAAGTTGGACGCCCTAGGTAGCAATGGACATCAGTCAGACGATGACTGTATCAGCAGATATATTGCTATTTTTATAATATATGATGGGCTTGCAACAGGTGGGGGATATGTGAAAATAATTGAAGTCTTACAACGGTTGGTAAAACAGGTGAATAGAGCCCAGTACTTAACAGATAGCTGAGGGGGATTGCCAGGTAGCTGAGGGGGGTTGCCAGGTATCTGAGGGGGATTGCCAGGTAGCAGAGGGGGATTACCCTGTAGCAGAGGGGGATAGCCAGGCAGCTGAGAGGGATTGTCAGGTAGCTGAGCTGGATTACCAGGTAGCTGAGTGGGATTGCCAGGTAGCTGAGGGGGATTACCAGGTAGCTGAGGGGGATTACCAGGTAGCCGAGGGGGATTACCAGGTACCTGAGGGGGATTCCCAGGTAGCTGAGGGGGGTTGCCAGGTAGCTGAGGGGGATTACCAGGTAGCAGAGGGGGATTACCAGGTAGCTGAGGGGGATTACCAGGTAGCTGAGGGGGATTACCAGGTAGCTGAGGGGGATTACCAGGTAGCTGATGGGGATTACCAGGTAGCTGAGGGGCATTGCCCGAGAGCCGAGGGGGATTACCAAGTAGCAGAGGGGGATTGCCAGGTAGCTGAGGGGGATTGCCAGGTAGCCGAGGGGGATTACCAGGTAGCTGAGGGGGATTCCCAGGTAGCTGAGGGGGATTGCCAGGTAGCTGAGGGGGATTCAGTTGGCATGTCTTAAAAATGTTCTTCTTGTTGTCTTTGGCCTCCCTAATGTCTTTGCTCATCCAAGGTTTCTTACTGTTAAATGCTTGTATTGTTGTTTAGAGAATGATCTCATCCACACAGAACATAATATACGACTTGACAGTGTTTGTTAATTCATCGATGTCAGGGTACAGTGTTTGTTAGTTCATCAATGTCCGTGTACAGTGTTTGTTAGTTCATAAATGTCTGTGCACAGTGTTTGTTAGTTCATCAATGTCAGGGTACAGTGTTTGTTAGTTCATCAATGTCAGGGTACAGTATTTGTAAATGTGCGCTTAGCAGCAGCCGTGGAGTTTTCCTGCCGCCTCATCTGACCAAAGTTCAGTAGATTTATTTTGAGTTTTTTTGAACTGATTTTTAGCACGGCGTTAAGAGAACTTTTGCGTGATTACATTCTCAAAGTGGAAAGCAACGTGGGGTCAATGGTACAATATAAAGCTACGGACCATTGGGTACAATATAAAGCTACGGACCATTGGGTACAATATAAAGCTAAGGACCATTGGGTACAATATAAAGCTACGGACCATTGGGTACAATATAAAGCTACTGACCATTGGGTACAATATAAAGCTAAGGACCATTGGGTACAATATAAAGCTAAGGACCATTGGGTACAATATAAAGCTATGGACCATATGGCACAATATAAAGATAAGGGCCATTGGGAAAAATATAAATCAAAGGACCATTTGGTACAATATTATAAAGATGAGGACCAATTTTCTGTCTCGGGTTGATCCTGTATTTTGGGCCAAAAAATGCCAAAGTGTCCTCATTTTATAGCCATTTTAATTGTTTTTATAGTATAGTAATTACTATCCTAGTGTCTCATTTTTTTATTTTACTTAGTTTACATGTTTTTAATAATTGTAAAGCGCTTGGAGCTTTAAGGTAAGCGCTATATAAAAAATGCCTACATAAATAACTAAATAAATATACAATATAAAGATAAGGACCATTGGGTATAGTTATAAAATAAGGATCATTGCCATGGGTACAATAAAGAGACAATGAACTTTGAGTAAAATATGGAAATAAGGACAATCAGGTACAATACAGTGTTCACATATTCTCAGATAGGAGACCAAAGGTACGATAATAACAAGCATTCTGAGATAGGAGACCATTGGAACAATAATAACAAGCATTCTGAGATAGGAGACCAATGGAACAATAATAACACGCATTCTGAGATAGAAGACCATTGGTACAATAATAACAAGCATTCTGAGATAGGAGACCATTGGTACAATAATAACAAGCATTCTGAGATAGGAGACCATTGGTACAATAATAACAAGCATTCTGAGATAGGAGACCATTGGTACAATAATAACAAGCATTCTGAGATAGGAGACCAATGGAACAATAATAACACGCATTCTGAGACAGGAGACCATTGGTACAATAATAACAAGCATTCTGAGATAGGAGACCATTGGTACAATAACAACACGCATTCTGAGATAGGAGACCATTGGTACAATAATAACAAGCATTCTGAGATAGGAGACCTATGGTACAATAATAACAAGCATTCTGAGATGGGAGGCCAATGGAACAACAATAACACGCATTCTGAGATAGGAGACCATTGGTACAATAAAAACACACATTCTGAGATAGGAGACCATTGGTACAATAATAACACGCATTCTAAGATAGGAGGCCATTGGTACAATAATAACAAGCATTCTGAGATAGGAGACCATTGGTACAATAATAACAAGCATTCTGAGATAGGAGACCATTGGTACAATAATAACAAGCATTCTGAGATAGGAGACCATTGGTACAATAATAACACGCATTCTGACATAGGAGACCATTGGTACAATAATAACACGCATTCTGAGATAGGAGACCTATGGTACAATAATAACAAGCATTCTGAGATAGGAAACCAATGGAACAATAATAACACGCATTCTGAGATAGGAGACCAATGATACAATAATAACACGCCTTCTGAGATAGGAGACCATTGGTACAATAATAGCACACATTCTGAGATAGGAGACCATTGGTACAATAATAACAAGCATGCTAAGATAGGAGACCAATGGAACAATAATAACAAGCATTCTAAGATAGGAGACCAATGGTAAAATAATAACAAGCATTCTAAGATAGGAGACCATTGGTACAATAATAACAAGCATTCTGAGATAGGAGACCTATGGTACAATAATAACACGCATTCTGAGATAGGAGACCAATTGTACAATAATTGCACGCATTCTGAGATAGGAGACCAATGGTACAATAATAACACGCATTCTGAGATAGGAGACCATTGGAACAATAATAACAAGCATTCTAAGATAGGAGACCTATGGTACAATAATAACACGCATTCTGAGATAGGAGACCTATGGTACAATAATAACACGCATTCTGAGATAGGAGACCATTGGAACAATAATAACAAGCATTCTAAGATAGGAGACCTATGGTACAATAATAACACGCATTCTGAGATAGGAGACCTATGGTACAATAATAACACGCATTCTGAGATAGGAGACCAATGATACAATAACAACACACATTCTGAGATAGGAGACCAATGGTACAAAAATAGCACACATTCTTAGATAGGAGACCAATGGTACAATAATAGCACACATTCTGAGATAGGAGACCAATGGTACAATAACAACACACATTCTGAGATAGGAGACCAATGGTACAATAATAGCACACATTCTGAGATAGGAGACCAATGGTACAATAATAGCACACATTCTGAGATAGAAGACCGTTGGTACAATAATAGCACACATTCTGAGATAGAATACCAATGGTACAATAATAGCACACATTCTCAGATAGGAGACCAAAGGTACGATAATAACAAGCATTCTGAGATAGGAGACCATTGGAACAATAATAACAAGCATTCTGAGATAGGAGACCTATGGTACAATAATAACAAGCATTCTGAGATAGGAGACCAATGGAACAATAATAACACGCATTCTGAGATAGGAGACCATTGGTACAATAATAACAAGCATTCTGAGATAGGAGACCATTGGTACAATAACAACACGCATTCTGAGATAGGAGACCATTGGTACAATAATAACAAGCATTCTGAGATAGGAGACCTATGGTACAATAATAACAAGCATTCTGAGATGGGAGGCCAATGGAACAACAATAACACGCATTCTGAGATAGGAGACCATTGGAACAATAATAACAAGCATTCTAAGATAGGAGACCTATGGTACAATAATAACACGCATTCTGAGATAGGAGACCTATGGTACAATAATAACACGCATTCTGAGATAGGAGACCAATGGTACAATAATAACACACATTCTGAGATAGGAGACCAATGGTACAATAATAACACACATTCTGAGATAGGAGACCAATGGTACAATAATAACACACATTCTGAGATAGGAGACCAATGGTACAATAATAACACACATTCTGAGATAGGAGACCAATGGTACAATAATAACACACATTCTGAGATAGGAGACCAATGGTACAATAATAACACACATTCTGAGATAGGAGACCAATGGTACAATAATAACACACATTCTGAGATAGGAGACC